ATCAACAACCCACTCAACTCCCCCGAGGAGTTTGCCTCCTCAATGACTCGCGACATGTCATTGTCCGGCGAGTTCACCACCGCAATTGCCCACTGCATCCGGGAGCAGTGCCAACTCTTCACTCGGAGTCTGTACAGCGTCGGACACCCCTTCGACGGGAGACCGGTCGAGGACCCTGATCTCATCGCCGCTTTCCTGCCGTCTCCTCTGCCATCCGTATTCAGACCCCAGCAACAGGCCAAGGAGTATGCTCCATATCTTTACGAGCTCAGTGACGCCGATTTGGAACGCAACGAGGTCATCTTCTCCCGGGAACAGAGACGCCAGAAGCGATCTATCAACCGTCGCGGTGGCCCGCAACTTCCGGATCTCAAGGAAAGGCAGCGCACAATCAGGACGCTCCTTGTCTCGTCCGTGCTTCCAGGCGCTGCGCCGAACATGGAAGAGAGCACGCTATACAAGCGTGTGGCCGGCGCACCAGCCACCACCCGCAAGAGGCCAGGAGCTCGCGATGGCGAAGTTTCCGATTCCGATGATAGTGAAGACTCAGGACCGGACTCGCCAGGCGTATCTCAGCTTGGCGGCACGGCCAGGACAAGAGGCCTTCGGGGCGCCGCGAGTGCTGCTCAGCAACGCATCACAAATCTCGGTCGCTCTGAAACGCCTGAAGCGAGCATCGTCCATCATCACGAGACTCGAAGAAACCTTGGCCGCTCCCTTCGCGATACTCGCGACGAGACTGAGGAGCCTACACAACTCATTGTTACACTGAAGGTTGGCAGGGATAAGCTGAGGAGACTTCTCCAGAATCCAAGAGCGAGGTTCACCCCGAGTGGCTCCCAGACACCGTCAACACCCGCACACACTCGTATACCTAGCGCGGCCGCGGCCGCAGCAAATTCAATGCCTCCGCCGTCTACGCCGGCCTCGAACGGTCAGGCTCTCCCTGCTCAACTTGGCACTCCTCTCCCTCAAGGCCAAATTGGTCGACAACCTGCTCCGCCACCTGTTGCCGGTCAACCGCCACCACCTGCTGTAAGTGATCATGAAATGCGAGACCGTCATGGATGGCTTGGACTGTGACCATGAATGGAAGCTGACATGTTTGATAGCCCCCGCCGCCAGAATGGCTTAAGAACTGTTTGCAGCAGCTGAAGCAGACGTACACCTTTGATAATTTCGAGGGCATGATGAAGTACTCAGCTATCAACCCTGACACAGAGATGCCGATATCAGTACCAGCAGGATCACAGCCTCCTGAGGGTGCTAGATGGATGTTCCTTCCCCGTATCCGCTGTCTCGACTGCCCCGGCAAGCTGTACACGCCCGGGCCGGAAATGACGGCAGGCAACTTTGAGGTTCACTTGCGCAATAAGCAGCATCGTCAAAAGGTGGATGCCAGAGAAGGCAGAGACACGGCACCCGGAACGACCTAAATCGATTACAGTTGGGCAGCGAGCCCCTGGTGGTACTTATGCCAATCGATGTCAAGGCCCGAGCCGAACTTTCTGGAAGGTGTAGCCATGTTCACCTACGCCATAAGTATTGGCGCCGAGCCAGCGATTTGAGGACGATCCCGTCATGTCATTACTTCAGAATAGCAAATATGGCGGTTGACCACCATCTCCAGCTCCTGTGACGTCCACAGAAAAGAAAAGGCAATGTCAGGCCGAGGATGTTGGCGTTGCCAAGTCAGCACGCTCGGCATTGTACAAGAGATCAGTCTATTCCCATTTCGTCTATGGTTTGTAGAAGGAAAAAAAGACATATCATTATCACTGGCAGTGAAATGGATAGAAGGGGACAGGGGTGAGCCAGAACGCGTTTCTTGCCGGTTATTTTTTTTTTACAATTTTAGGAGTTCAAACTCTGCTCGTGAGGCAAGGTAGCAATGGCCGGAGTTCCGACTGGAAGTGTTTTGTTAGGATACGACTTGGAAGAGAGAGGAGAAAGAGCTTCAAAGGCTAGGCTTTTGTGTAAGGCGTGCAAGGGTAGGACGAGGTCAGCTACAGTGACCTTGGTAGACAAGGTAGATAACCTTACTAAACAAGGGCTGCTGAGGCTGCTGATAGTAAGAGTAATACCACAAGAAAGCTTACAATGTCTACATCTCCTCACTCTTTCAGCCACACATGTGTATGGATCAAATATGGAGAGTCACAGACACAGGGGTTCTCTTCGGTACGGAGCTTGCTCATCCACCTTGGTTAAAGTACGTCACAGCTGCACCAAATTGGAAGTGGGCATATACTTTACTATTTGACTAGCTGGTTTACTATGGCTACATGAGGTACGCAAAGGTACCAGAGCTATTTGCCTATGGCCATAAGCCATTTCCACCGCCAACAGGTGCGTACAATGGCAAGGTACCCACGCATGCTTGCCAGGCCGTTGGGGTTCATCTTCGCCATCCAGCTAAATGTTTTGAAATCGGCGAATCCAGCCAGTGTAACGAAAAATTTACTAGAACAAACTTTTTGAAAAGACAGAGGAAGACAGAAAATCACACGCCGTGCCTCCCACCGTCCTACTCCGTTAAAATTGGCTCCCCTGAAGAAAAGTTGAGCTGCCCATTTGGGAGGAGGGCCTAGTGATGATCCTCTTCCTCCTCCTCCTCTTCCTCCTCCTCTCCCTCTTCCGCTCCTTCTTCCTCTCCCTCTTCGTCTTCGTCTTCGTCCTCATGATGAGCCTCCTCATGGACATGGGGCTTAGTGGGCTTGTGATGGGGTTCGAGCTCTACTTCGTGTTCCTTATGCTGCTGCGTCTGCTTGCCTTTGGGCTTTGAGGAGGATTCAACAGATGTGTGCTTGCGAAGGGGACTTTGTGTGAGAGGGTGCTTGAAAGGGTGCTTGAATTGTGGGCGACCAAACTTTGGGGGGAAGCCGATGACAGAAGAAATGATGGCATCGAACTTGTCCTGTCCGTCGGCATCCTCGAGGAGTGCGAGGCCCAGCGTGGCGAGCTCCTCGTTGGAGAAGCCGTATTCATCCCTGAGAGCCGCCGCGACCTTGGCGGTATCGTCGTCGATCTCCTCGTCGTCGTCGTCATCCTCCTCCTGGCTGTCGTCGTCCTCCCTGTTATCGTCTTCACTGTCTTCGTCCTCACTGTCTTCGTCTTCACTGTCTTCTTCCTTATTGTCGACGCCCTCGTTGTCTTCGGCGCTCTGGGGATCCTCCTCGCTGAGGCTGGCGTTGAGATCTTGCTTCTTGACGGGCGCCTCGCGGTTAATAGGGGGCCCCCCGGATCTATCCATGGCCACCTCGATCCAGCCAGCTTTGGTAGGATTCTGCTTGTACTCTTGAAGGTAGAAGTCGACGCAGTACTTGATGGAACCGGCGTAGTTGTCCGGGCTCTTATACCAGCCTGGTCTGCGGCGCCTGTCGGAGTTATTCTCCTTGCACCACTCCCTACGGCGGGCGATCATGGCTTCCGTAGGGACGGAGCCGGTGGCCAGGGGCAGGGGCGGGGCGACGGGATTGGTGAGCGTCGCGACGGCGGTGGCGGGCTCCGAGGTGGTGGAGGTGGTGATGGTGGTGAAGGAGGTGGCGCTGGCCAGGGCGAGGGTGCCCGTGGCGGCGAGGGTGGTCTTGACGGCGACCATCTTAATGTTGTTCAGTTTGATGTGAGATCAAGTATCTTAGATTAGTGGCATTAGTAATTATTGGTTTATATGTGTTGAGTATTCTGTGATGTACACTTACCTAGGGTCGCTGAATGGTGTAGAGATCTATCTAATGGCGTAGAGGAAGAAAGAGAGAAAGACTGGGCAGAGTCAGAAGAGCGAGTTTTATAGACTTCTCTCTCGACTTTCTCCGGACGCAGAGGTTACTGCTTCTCGTGATCTATACACAGTTCCATGTGCCGCTGTTGAGCCTCAAAGGCTCGAACAAGTCCTGTAGAAAGTTAATGTATGCGCCTATACGAGGCGGCCAATAGATGTTATAGTTGATGGCTATGGGGCATCAATAGAGGCGGGAGGTGGTTGAGATCCACTCGGGCCCAGATGTCAACGTTCAAACCAGGTCAATGATAATGCCAGCGTGATCATCACATGTTTGCTTGGGGGTAATATTGAGAGTGTATTCCTGGAAAGTTTACTATGATGTTCCTTTTGCTCCACAGGTTTAGTGGTGTAAGTTCAACCCGGAGCCGCATCATCGTCTATACTATCCGTGGTCCTATATTAGCATACACCGAAAACGTCTTCAACAGTACCCCATGATGGCGAAGCGTTAACACTCAAAGTTATTTCGCAACATCAGTCACCCGCCACGCTATGCTCAGCCGTGTTTGCCCGTACGCGATAGGAGCTCTCTGGGATACTAGAAGTATGGTAGGACAGCGCCATCCGAACGTGTGATCTGAAGCCAAACCCTCCCACTCAGATGTTGCCGTGTGTGTGCGCGCAACAGACAGGGCCTATCAGTCTTGGTCTGCTTCCGAATGTGACCCTCGCGACGCGTCTTGGAACGCCACCCTACTGACTTGCCTCCGAGCGCCAGACTTGGCAACGGGACTTGAGGGTATCCAAAATGGTACTTGGAGCAGAACAAGCTTTCCTTGGCTGTTGGTGGCTTTCGATAAAGGTGGACATTCGAGGAATCCCAAGGTCATCCACAACCGTTCATCCGTCATCAAAGTTGCAGATTTCCACGCCACAATGTCATTGAGTTCTTTTTTGACAAACGTTGCTCCAGCATGGGCCGCGAGCACGTCAAAAGGGTATTGCTCAATCAAAGTTTCCCGTCAAACCAGCATGCCCTAACCACAGAATAACGTAATCCCCTTTTTTTCTTCCCCCATCCCCCATGCTGCGAGTTCGTGCTCGTGTGGGGGGTGGGCAGGCTTTAAACTCCATACAGGCTAAATTTCCCGTGCATCCAGATTTCCCCAAATCAACGTCTATAGCTTACACGATGGGATCGGAGGGTGCTGTCCGAACAAATGCGACGTAGATAAATAAGCTTCCCCCTTCTCCCCCCTTGAGCATCCCTGGCTAGACGGTCCGTTCGAAGTGTGTTTATATTACTCGTGACCTGTTCGTGCCTGAAGCATTAACCGCCTTCGTTTGCTATAGTTCGCCGAGGTACTATATTCAATGTCGTGATATTCCCCCGTCCCGGATTGCCGCACAAGGGCTCAGTCTGTGAATGGTATAAAAGTGATGAGCCTGTCCGGCAAGTTTTGACATGCTTTCTCATGCATCTCCAGCCAAGCGTCACTGATTCCCATTCCCTCAACCAAGTCCAATCGCCAATATGAAGGTCACCGCCCTCCTCACCCTCCTTCCCTTAACCTCCGCCAAAGTCCTCTGGGACGGCCGCTTCAACGACTTCAATTCCTCCTCCGACCTCAACAAGTGGTCCTGGTCCAACCAAGTCGGACCCTATCAGTACTACATCCACGGGTCCGGCGACGTAACGAAATACGTAAACCTCTCGCCGTCCTATAAGAACCCTGCCGACACGGCGTCAAAGCAAGGTGTAAAAATCACGCTCGATAGCACGGCCTACTGGAACGGCCAAAACATGCGGCGCACCGAACTCATTCCGCAGACAAAGGCCACCATCAACTCGGGCAAGGTGTGGTACCACTTCAGCATCTCCCGAAAGGATGTCAACGCGCCGAGCATCTTCCGCGAGCACCAGATTGCGTTTTTCGAGAGCCACTTTACTGAGCTTAAGAGCGGATGGATTAGTGGCGAGTCGGCGACGAACAACACGAACTTGCAGTTTATGGTGCAGCAGAAGAGTCTGTGGAAGACGGAGTGGAAGCCGGATGTGTGGCACAACGTCGCCTACGAGATTGTGAGTTCGTCTTTGTACCCATTCTGTTTCTTGCGTATGGAGGGAAGGGTGCCTTTCACACGTTGGGCTTAGAAGCATGGACTTACACCATTATGTCGTAGAACTTCTCAAGCGGAAGCGTCGGCTTCTGGCACTCCGAGGGTAGTGCCCCTCTGCAGCAGGTCGTGGCTCCAGTCTCTGCTTCGACGTCGTCCAACGGCGCGGACTGGCATCTGGGCGTTCTCGAGCTTCCTCGTGACGGCTATGCCGACACCAACGAGGACTTTTTCTTCTCTGGCGTCTATGTGGAGGATACTGCTATCACGACCTCTGTCACTGGACCTGGTGAGTGAATACTATGGGAACCTTTTTGAGTGGGAAGCAACTGACAGGACTGGGAGCAGCCGCGTGATGTAAATCTATTTCCTTCATGGAACAGGAGTAGCGGTAAGAGCTGGCTTCGAGAAAGGCCGGAGAAGACGGCAACATTGTACATACTTCATCCATTCTTCAGTACATATCACTCGTTCATATTCACGTATTCGCGTATACAGAATTGGAGATTCAAGATATCTTGGTTCCTTATGCAAGCTTCTATTTGGCGACCAGTCTGAGCCTTGCTTTCCTAGTAGCCTCCACCACCAAAACGTTTAGTCGTATACGTCTCCAGACTAAGCGTCCCGTGTGCCTCTAGATTCTCGAAAGTGTAAAGTCGTCGCTGTTTGGTGCTTGAATTCAGTTGGAACTCGTGCACGTCTTCGTCACCATAGTGGTCGGAACGGTAGTGCCATTGACGGCAGCCGTGGGGGGCGCCTGGCAAGCACCAAGAGAGGTGCGTGTCATGCCCGGGATGGGGCCGAGAGAAGGGTCCCAGCCAGTGACTCCAGCCCAGTACATGCAATACTGGGTGTTTCTGTCGCAGTACTTGTACTTGCAGTCGACTGAGGGAGTAGGCGCCGAGGTGATGAGCATCTCGTTCGTAGTGTCGCGCTTTTGGTTTCCATCCTGGGAAGGAACGGCGCTGCACCTGCCGACAGAGGTGACAGTCTCGCCAGGAACCGGACCTTTCGTAGGATCCCAGCCAGTGATGCCGGCCCAGTAGGCACAAAGAGACGTGCCATTCTGACACCACTCGTGGTCGCAGTTGATGATAGTAGCGGGGATCGCCGAGATCGCGGAGATGGAATCTACTCTGACGTTGGCCTTGATGGGTGAGACGACGAGTGTTCCTTGGGGCAATAAGGACTCCAAATGAGTGGTCGTGGAGGTGGTTCCAGGGAGAGTTATCAGATCGAATCCGGGCGCGGCGATAGAATGAGTAGTAGAAGTCGTAGTAGTACGACGGGTAGAATACTTGTCGTAGAATCCAACCACGAGGCCGGAGCCGCCCAGCAAGAGCACCATGGAGGCGATGGGGGAGGTAAAAAGGTTGCGCATGTTAAATATTGAAGCGGTTGGTTTAAAATTGATGAGGACGGCTTGCTATTTGGTCAGTGTTGAGTCTAGAGTTTCCTTTTGTACTTTCACTAGAGGCTTACCGAGAAGGATCGAAGTTGGAAAACTGACTGTCAGGTTTGTTTGTACAAAGTGAGACTTGTTTTAATTATGAAAGAATGACCGAAAAAGAGATGTTGAGATATCGTGAGCCGACTGCAATAGAATAACTGGAAAAGGGGGTGATGATGGTGATGGGTAAGACAAGGTCCAAAGGCCAAAGGCAGTGCAGTTGAAGTCTTTCACCTCTTGCTGTAATCAGCTCAAAATGTATTCTACTGGGGGAAGGAACACTGCAGGTACAGGTATCTTGAAACGGAAGGAAGTTAAGTCAACGAGACAGTTTCGGACTCTTGAAGTAGCTTCGTGGTTGCCTCAATTTTTCACTTTTGGTCTCGCTCTTTCGCCCAAGGAAGGAGCCACTGGCTTATGTAGAACACAAGGAGCCCATTCTGAGACCGAATCTGCCGTGAGAGTGCCATCTCACGAGACGGAAGGTTGTGGTACAGAGATGTGATACTTCCGCCACTATTGGACCAAGATTCTGAAGATCAAAGAAGCTTAGCAATTATATATTAGGGCTGACGATGAGGCTTTCCAGAATTGTTCCACTGTGGGATTGGTGTAGGGTAACTCCAGCCCACGTTTCCTATTCATGCTAGTCTCGTGCGAGCTTAGTATGAACTGACTTATCTTCCTTCCGAATGGATATGGTCACGATGTCGGCCACTTTTACAGATGGCTTACTGTTGTCTCTGATCATGTACGACGACGGCGCTGGATCGTGCGTCCCGAAAGAACCCCGTCAACTTGAAGAACAAGCTTTGTGCTCCCGCCATAGGTCGTTTGCTTCCCGTTTCCCATTATGCAACATTGACACCCATTACCGACAGGCTCGTACAAGAAACACTTCATTGCACGTGAACATGAAACGTATTACACTCATAAAGAGGCTTGTATTGGAAAAAAGTTTCATTAGACGCGCCAAAGGTTGTATCCCATGCCGCTGAGAGCTATTATCATCGAAGAGCCCAGCTCAGGAAGACGCCAATTGCGTAGCTGCCTTGGCATACAACGTAACAGTGATGGCGATGCTGGCAAGCCAAGCGAGGCTTCGCACGGGGCCGAAGCTCCGGTTGTCCTGCAGGCGCACGTAGATGATGTTGTACAAGGCCCTGGAGCCGACGTAGCCCAGCGTCAAGATGTTGACAGTCTCGGCGTCCACACCGGCGAAGTTGGCGGCGACCACGGCAGCCGAGTAGAACCCGAGTGTCTCAAAGGCGTTTTCCGACGCGGCCTTGGCACGGAGGATGCGGGCTTTGGCCTACAGCTTCGTGTGAGATGAAGGTCAAGGTGCTCGGATAGGGGGGCATGGTTGTCTATAAATGGAAGGGTGTCGTTCTTACAATCTTGTCTATCTTGTCATCGGCCACGACGCTGGTCTGGAGCTTTCGCGGGTTGCAGAGGTCGTAGTGCGCCCCGGCTCCGGAGACGGCGTAGACGTTGGGCAGCATGGCCATCACGAAGGCGGCCGGGATCTGGACATTCGGTTTTAGCTTAGTGGTCCAGCTACATTGCTTGTCGATACGTCACTGACAGTGTAAAGGGATAGTCCCTTTTGGGCGAGGTCCAGACCGAAGAAAGACATGTTGACGATGGTGTTTCAATGTCACGTTGAGAGATGTTGGGTGAGTGGAATACAGCAAGCTTCACTGGAATGGTGAGTAGGCACGGAGAGTAGTTGTATGACTTCAGTACGGAGTATAACTCCTTTCAAGATCGGAAGGACGGCGCGAGTTAGAGCCCGACGGGCGACGTAAAGAGACACGAACTCGGGGAGGAGGGGGTGTTGCACCGAGGCAGTCCAGCGCACGGGTTGCTCCGACTTGGGAAACGAGTACTAGCATGGGTCTAGAAGGACGTCGAATCTATGAGAGCCAGGCATATTTGGATACCTACCTAGTCTTCCCGCACTTGGTTGACAACAGACGGGCCTGCGGGAACGCTACCTACATTGGGACCTGGCAAGCACTGGGTCGGCCGAGTGGTGATGACAGAGTTACAACAAAAGATCGCCAGCGTCGAACCGGTGAGTGCAACATTCGATTGGCTAGCTACAATTTTCTCCCTACCCCTGTTGAAAGGCAAGGGCGAACTCGTGGAGTGGGAATCGTGATGTCACCCGAATCGGCATTTCATAGACACCGACCAATCCGATGCTGTTTTCTTGCATAACTTTGCAGGATTTAACGTTGTGTAAAAACTAAACGCACATACACCCGGGGCCCGAGCTGGGCCTGTCATTGGGTCGCCGCGTGGGGGGGGGGAGGAATAGCATCAAGCAAACTGGAACCACACAACAACTTCCCGCTGCGTTTTCTTTTCTCCGGGCTGTGTGTTTGGCTGGTTTGGTGCGCCCACACATGTTTTGATTTCAGCCTCTATGTTCAACGTTGTGGAAATAATATCTCTTTGCGCAATGTCGTAAAATCCCTTTCTCTCTAAACTTCTCCTCTGTCTTGTTTCCGATATTTGCGGGGGAAGCTCAAACAAGCTACCGGCGGTCCGTTTCGTTTCTCATTTCAGAGTTCTCTTCTGAGAGAATGCGACGTCTTGGCAGACGCACAACCTGGAAACTCAACCACCCGGAACGGATCAACTACGCCCTCACTCATATTCGAATCTTTGGCAGCCCATGAGATGAGCTTCTCACTCGGAATTATCGCTAGACCGACGGCAATCGCTTTTCATGAGAAGGTTTTCACGTAGCACGATTGCTGTTCATTTATACACTTCTTCAGTATCATCAACCCTAAGTTGCGCTCGACTAATGCACAAAACTCATAAGAAGTATCCCATCGACGAGTAACATGAATCCCCGAGCATGTCCAATTCGACAAGCCAGGTGATTCAATTGAGTGCAGGATAAGTATTAGCTGATTGTCTTACAAGAGGCACTTTGTGACACATGAACGACTAATAGATGTGAAATTGTACGTTCCCGGATGAGAGAACCTTTTGTCCAGGTCACTGACTTTTCCTCTCCAGCGCGGCAACTCGGAGGCGTGCAACTGACTCGAAACTCACGAACCTTTTTGCAGAGCCTGCCCCGCGACTCTGCGACGAGACTATTGAATTTAGGTGTGCGTTGGGCTTCGGAGTTTTTGGGACGAGCACTCACAAAGCGTCCATAGGCCCCGACTCATGCTTCAGGTCTTATCCTGGTCCCCCGGCTTCGAGATTGTCGGGCAATGGTTGAGAAAAAGTTGCTTCGTTCATCACCGACGTTCATCGAATCAAGCGATTCTAGCGTTGGAATTTCGTCTCATTGAAAGACTTTGTGCGATAGCGTTCGTCTCTTTCGCTCTCAAGTGAAGGTGGAAAATGAGGGTTGTCGTCATTCACACTGAGCCGGCGTCTTCTCGTGGCCTTTTGGCGCTGAGATCGACAGCGACGACAATCTCACCAAGGTAGAGAGACGAAATCTCTCAACACTTGCCCGACAGCTTCCAAGCAAAGAAAGTCGCATTGCTGAAAGCGAGCCTCGCAGGCAAGGGGCCTAAAGGCTGGAAACATCAAGAGTGGGCTCGTCATGCCTGCGACCAGGTAAGAAGCGATGGCAGAAGAGAAGAAAAGTAAAGCTCCAAGAGTCCAAGTCCAGGCATCCTGGGTTCCTGGGACTTTCAGCATCCAAGCAAACAGCAAACGCAAGACGCTTGCACCGATGGAATGTGACCGGAGCAGGGATGCTGATGAGATTGGATGCCAGACCGAGCCACACACAACGTGGGAGAATTTGGGTTGGTCTAGACGAAAACAGCATGGCGGCAAGAAGATGCACACACTCACACTGACTGATTCATCAAGCGGAAGATGTCGCCAGCCAGCAGCACACTTGGGCCTGTCCAGCGATGTTCCATCCGATTCTGATTTTCAACTAGCGGCAATCCAAAGTGCAGATTGCTATTACAGCAAAATGAACGGGAGCCTGGTGAAGCTTTTGAGACTCGAAGGTACTTACTTATCAGTACTTACACGCGCCTTATTATTCTTACAGGTAGGTCAGGTAGGTTCTATGAGAGAGAGACAGAGACAGACACCTGTCCCCAGCGACATTGAAAGGCCTCATCATCTTTCCACTGATATGCGGACGGGCAAGGGCGGGCGCGCTGCACCGGCGCTAGAAGAAAAAAGCACTGAACACCTCACTCTAAGCAGGAGTAGGGCGTCCCCAAGACCCCAAGTTCCCCAACAGACAGAGCCCGATGGACAGACATTCATCAACTGCTGCAAGGAAGCGTACTGCGTAGCCTGCGTGCGCCGCAAAAAGTTGGAGGGCCCGGTCCAGACATCCCCATTGGAGAGACTATCTGGCATGAGAGATTACCGCACTGTACCATCTCCTTTTTGCCTCCCCCGGTCATTCATCTTTGCACCACGCATTACCCTCCCCTTTCTGTTAAAGACGCATCCATGGCCTCCTCCCCGGCACAGTGTCCAGATTCTCCGATAACAAATAATTTTTCCCGGGGTGTCTATCAACCCCCCCAATCTAGCAACTGCCCATCAGCCTGTGACTTCCAGAATCACCACCCGTCCAGCGGCGCCCGTAGACCGACAATTTTCTGGTCGACCATCCACGACAGAAATCAATCGCGATCAATTGCCACCACCCACCACAACCACTTTCATCACTTTTGATCGTCGATTTCATCTCAGCGACGCTCCGAAACCATTGTCGACATCCCGTTTTCGCCCAAAACGGATGTCGCGGCAGCTCATGACATGACTGAGGTCGGGCCTGCCGACCGCTCCAGGCTTTTGCGATCCACACGCGATGAATTTAGGTTAGTTATTGTATCGCTCGATAGAGCTCGCTCGTGCGATTCTAGTGATATAATTTTCGGCGTGTTGACATTTTTTAGTTCAATTGTAACATCGAGGAAGCGGAAGCTTCGTCAGCTCTTCGCTGTCGCGACCGAGGGCGATGCACTCCCCACAAACGACTTCGCAAATCCTGACGCGCCGCCCGCCACCGCAGCCGAACTTCAGTTCCTGCAGGCTTGCGATATCTCACAGTACGTTGTCCTGTTCTTTTCGCGCTTTTTTTGACCCATTTTGGTCGCGTATGGCTCCAGTTGTTGCCTCTCGCCGCTTACACGACTTACAGGGGACGGAAGCTCAATGAAGCGAATGTTCCTGCTCGACCTCAGCTGCGCTACGATGTCCTAAGACAGTCCCTCGACAACTCTGGCCTCTTTGCACCAGAGCCAGCGCCTGCTCCTCCCGTAAAGCAAGATGCTGCCGTCCCCGAAACCCAAACGAAGAGCGCTCCTACGCCGTCGCCAAAGCCGGCTGCAGCTCCATCTAACGTCCCGAATGGCGCTGCACCATCACCTCGAACACCTGCGACCTTCACCCTTCCGCCCTCACTTCCACCGAAGCCCCCGACGCCTGTGCCTGCTGCATCGACACCAAATCGACCCGATGCCTCCAAACCGCCCACGTTGGCTGCCTCAGGTCCGCCGCCGCCATCACCTGTAGCCGTTCCCACGAAGAATCCTCTGCACGCATCGCGACAAGATTCCGCAGAGACAACAAGCGCCGCAGCTGTCGAAAAGCCCGTCCCAGCGCCCCTACGCGAAAATCCGAATGGCATCTCGAAGAAGGCCGAACCACGAAAGGGGGATACGCCACAAGCTGCGCCCAGTCCATCCGTTGTAAAGCCACCCGTCGCACAGCTTCCTGCTCGTCCAGACTTCAAAAAGACCGAGGAAACGGTTCCCGTGGCTGCCAAACCTCCGCCCGACCCAGCAAAGCTAGCCGACGGAGCTTCATCACCAGGCTCAACGACGCAGACAGCCGCGACTCCTGCTGTGCATGACGTTTCAACAGATACGAGCCCCGAAAATGAAGGCCCTCAATATGTGGAGCGGCAGGCCACATCTAATGAAGGAAAGGCAGCAGGTAAGGCAGAGGAGGCTAAGGAGACCGAAGGCGATGCTTCCCCTGATGCAGATTCGCCCAACGGCAGAATACCAGATGGACCTGAAGCACAGCTTTTGCAGGAGTCTATGGCGATGGGCTCTAAGCCAACACCGCCTGTGAGCGAAACACCCGCGAAGAAAGCGTCGCCTCCCACGACATCAGTGGTGCCCACGCCGCCTCCGGTCGAAATCAAAGCCCCAGAGCCTACCGCAGCAAAGGTCATTACACCAAGTGTGGCCCAGAGTGCCACTACCGCCGCTGAGCCGCGTACGGGCCAGCCGGCCAAAGAAATCCCGGACAGCCAGGAGTCTCAGGCTCCCGAAAAAATGGATGTGGATCAACCAGATGTCCAGTCTGAGGAGAAACCTTCCGTTGAGGTACAAGCGATACCTGTTGGACCCAGTCAAACGGAGATGCAGACTCCTCAAGCTACAAACCAAGCTCCACAGACGCCGCAGGACCCAGAGCGAGCGGTAACCCGAACAGCTTCTGGAACAATCAGACAGAAGTCAGTGGCCGAAATATTGGGAGAAACAAGTCCAGAGACACAAATGACTGTCAAAATGCCCGCAAGTCAACTTACACCTCTCACCTCCACGCCCCAGTCTCCGCCCTCGAGGCCAAAGACGTTTGCCACCAAGAAGAAGGACAAGGAAAAGGCAAGAAACAAGCCTTCTGAAGTTGTGTTTGGCAAGCAGACGAAACGATCAGCAGACAAGTCTATGGTGCCTAGTCAGCAGAAGCAAAGTTTTCTGCCGACAGACGACTATTTCACACCACTCTTTGTG